AAACAGTATCGAGCAGAACACCTGAAACAAGTCAGTTGACTGAGTTTGACAACAACAAGCAGACTGGAATCACTCCACAAGGAAGAGAGAGAAGAGGGAGATGAAGAGTACGAGGATGAGGGGGAGGAGGAACTAGAGAACGAGTGAAGGGGGGGATAGACAGGAGGAGGGGAGGAAGGAACAACGAGGGGGAGGAAAGCACAACGAGATGGGTTAGAGGAAGGGACAGGGAGGGGGGCGAGCAAGACAGTCTGACGACCTTCTGAGTTGTAGATTGGTTTGAACATGAATCTCATTCCCACCACAAGGAACGGCAAAGTGACCAAACAGCCAATGCCAACCTGTCAGCTCTTTCAATCTTATTTCATCTTACATGTAAAGTATCATCATCATCGTCTCCTCACATACACACGCAAGATCAAACGACGTTGAATGATGTCTTGAGGCAGGGGAGAGGAGAAAGGAGGTAACGAGAGAATCAGCGGAGAAAGAGGAAGAGGAAGAGGAAGAGGAAGAGGAAGAGGAAGAGGAAGTCACAGGTGGTTGTGGTGGAGGAGGTGAAGGGGGAGGGGAACGGGGAGGGGGAGGGGGAGAGGGAAGGGGGATGAGGGAGGAGGGAGGAGGGAGGAGGGAGAGGAACGGAACAAAAACATTTGAGACTTCACATTAGCGATGAAGGTATTCACATTCACTCCTTCACGGGAGAAAGCTTGACCTAGACCATCGTCATCGTCTCCTCCTCCTCCTCCTCCTCCTCCTCCTCCTCCTCCTCCTCTCTCAATCGCTCGATCCCTTCCTTTCGTCTCTCTCCTCTATCCACTCCTCTTCGTCTTCTTCATCTTCGTCTTCATCTTCCTCTTTTGCTCACCGATGATCACGTTTGGCGGGTTGCTCAACATAGTCATAGCACTACCTATGCCTGCAGATGAAGACACGTAAAATTGTGAACAAGATGTCAAGATGAAGATAATGAGTCAAAAGAAGAATGATGTTTAGAAGAGTTAGCAGAGTGATGTAGGTGATGTAAAACTCGTCAGTCGAGGGAACACAACATCTTGTCCTTGGAACAGACGTCGGTGATCAACGAATGGAACATAACATCTTCTGATGCCGGACAGTAGATGGCTCGTGAAACCTACCACTAAAAATGCTCTCCATGATGATGTAATCAGCAGGGTCAAGAGAAGAAATCTGTGAGAAGATGTTTTTGAGCGATCTGTCAGAAGCAAGGACAACATACTTGACACAAGCTCGTGGTAACTGGGACGATTAGAGAGACGACGGCAAGGTTAGGAAGGAACATGGAGAGAAATCCTTTGTGGTACATCAGAGTCAAGAAGTTGAGATGTTCCATGGATGCGATGGAGGGCAAACCTGTGCCGAGACAGAGCGCCAGGAGCAGTCTCCATCTGAGAAGATAATCACAACGAGATCAGAAATGTGAAGAAACAATCCATTGAGAAGAGATTGCAAAAGATAAGATCGAGAAGCGTTTGTGAGGATTGAGGAGAAAATTGCGAATGTGAGGGTTGAGGTAAGATTGCAATTGAAACACTCAGTTGTATCTCACGGGCTTCCATTTGTGTGCCTCGCAACTTCTACAGCGGCACTTTCAAGCACTCCTGCAGTTTGAAGTTTTCAAGAGATGGAAGAGGACAAGGAGGGGAGGAGTGAGGTTATAGAGGTAGAAGGTACAGGAGTGCGCGGAGAAGAAGGAAGAGGAAGAGTAGGAGTAGGAGGAGGAGGAGGAGGAGGAAGAGGAGGAGGGAGGGGGGGGAGGGGAGGAGGGAGGAGGAGAAGGAGGAGCAGGAGGAGGAGGAGGAAGAGGAGGAGGAAGAGGAGGAGGAAGAGGAGGAGGAAGAGGAGGAGAAGGAGGAGGACTCCATAAACCTACCTGTATCGGAGATGATATGCAGCATGAGCATCATACCGAAGAGAAGAGCGAGAGTCGTCTCGGAGATCCAGGAGGCTGCCTGTACTCACTTGTCATCCTGCTTCCCTTCCTGCCTACTCCTGGTCTCCTCCCTTGTCATTCTATCATGGCCTATCACCATCACGCTCCTCCTCTCCTCCTCTCCCCTCCTCTCATCTCGTCTCGTCTCGTCTCCTCTCCTCTCTCACTGTTTTCATGTGTGGCGCTTGTCGCAGCAAGGCCAAGAATGTCAAGCTGCAGATCGCACCGAGCAGAGTGCAGAGAGCGCGTTGACAAACCTGTTGAGCAACAGAAGTGAAAACACAGAGTGACAAGAGCACAAGTAAACAGATACAAGATAACAGATACCAGATAACAGATACCAGATACCAGATACCAGATACAAAATGCAAATACAGTAGAGGATAGACGATTGGAGCAAGAGAGAAGAGAATCAAGGAAAGACTGGAGTTGTTCAAGGTATGATGCAGAAAATGGACAGTATGAGGTTAGAAGGATGACGATAGTAAGAACAAAGAAGATAGACAGTACAAGGTTCAAGGAAGAGGATGGGAAGTTTGGTACATGTTGTCATATTCTCTCTCACCTCTGATAAAATGGCAGAATAAACCAGCACAAGGATGATAGCAGCGATCATCGCCCGGTGTCTTCCTAGCAACCCACCGAACTTGCAGGATGTCTCAGTTGACACAACATCATCAACCTTCCAGCTCACCTCCATGACGTCAAACATGACAGCAGTTTCTTCTGTGTGCCATACGAGAATGTATCACGGTAAACACAAGAAATCTTGTTCCTCACTTGTAACGTTCACTCTTAACTCCATCCTGAAGAAAGTATTCGAAAGCAACACAGCTGCAAACTCGTTCAACACACATTACACATCTTCCTCGTCCACTGTATGCGAGAAACAATTACTTTGGTTCATATCTTCAATCAGTTGAGCGTCGAAAGTGTAAACGTCTTCAAGATAATCTCTGCAACGCAAGTCAGCACCAACATGTACCATGAGCAATGAGTGCCTTTCACACGCAAACGGCACCGTCCTCGTAAAAACCAACTCTGACCCTTGAAAGATTCTCAACTCGACGCCGCTGGCCCACATTGTCACAAACTCGTCTTCCCGAGTCACGGTAGCTGTTTCCAGCCAGCAAACCTCTCATTGACAGCTTGGTTTCCATCGCAGAGGCTCGTTGTTGGCACCTCCCATGACATCAGCACCAGCAGCACAAGATCGGAAATCTTCGGACGAGGACACAAAGAAATGAATGAATGAATGAAGGAAACAGAGAAAGAAAGGAAGAAAGCAGAGAAAGGCTCCTACCATCGTTTTGATGTCAAAGACCTCGTTCCCGATAGCTGCAAGCAAACATCACAACCAGTTCAAGCAGAAGAGGCAGCAGTTCACTTGTATTGTATACAACAACAGCTCCATGGGGCCTAATCGTCACCGGCCAGCCTGAAATCTCCTGGACATGCCATGACAAACAGACATCACTATGGTGTTGAACCCACCTCTCCGAACGATTGCATGAACATGTACGGCATGCCATCGCGAGGATACGCGTAGTCCCTTGGCACAGTGACTGCAGCGACATCAGAACTTTCTCACCCGCTCAAGCAAACATTTCTTCACCCATGATTGTGAACCCTGCGATTATGATTAAGAAAGGTACGAGCTTCTGTATCAGCCGCCCTGCACGAACATGTCAGTCCCTCTGGCTCTCCCAGCGCAGGCAAGTCTGACATCGGAAGTTCGGGTGAGGTATGCGCATCTCATGAAACATGTTCTCATCCTGTTGGAGAGGGATCTTGAGCAGACATGCTAAGAAACTCCAACCTTGCGCACCTCCACTGCAATCTCCTCGTTGTCACAACCAAACTCCAGGAGAGGAGTGTTTCTCGGCATGTTTCTGAACATTGCTTTCACCATGTGATCATCCGACAAACTCTCAACTTACCAGAGGAATGCTATGATAGGGCAGAAACAAGGTCCAGGGAGGATCGATATCCACTGTTCCTTCCAGCCTTCCGATCGTACAAGTTCTGTCGTCTTCTACCTGCACTTCTCGTTGCAATGAAGTCAGAACTCACGCAGACAACTCTGTTCACTCGTTGACAACTTCTGTGGGTCTCACTTTCCGTTCAACACACTTATTGTTGAATGTAATTACTCTAGAAAATTGCACCTTCTCCTCTACAGCTCCTCATCCTCTGCTACTCCCTCCGACAACCCCTTCACCCTTCCTCCCTGCCCTCTTGTCCTCCTATTATCGTCTTCGTCTCCTCCTCCTCTGCCTATATCATCCTGCGCTCTAAACCCCGCCCTCCTCAATCTCTTGCTTCTGTATTGAAGATGATTGAGTTCACTCGTTCTTCTGGTCCGTCCCTTCTCGAGTCCAATGCTTTCTTCTTGGCTCTTCGTCGACGCTCCTCCATCCAAGTTTGATGCAAGATGTCTGATCTTGATAGCATGAGTTGCTCACCTCAGCTCCTGTTCTGCCAACTTCGATACATCTAGAACGCATCCCTGTACTCCTCTTTCCCTCTACTGGTCTTGTTGCAATGTTATCTCTGGTTTTCTTTGGCTGATCAACTCCATGGACTCTACACAACTTCTCAGTCCTCCTCGTCCTCGTCCCCTCTTTCATCCTCTTCCTCTCCCTCCTCTTCGCGCACATTTCGCGAGCTACAATTCGGTAGTAAGCTGCATGACCAGTGAAGAGGGGTTCGGGATGTCTGGGTAGGGTAGTAATGGACAAGTGGGGTAGGGGGTATACATCAAATTTCGAAGTTCCATAGATATCAGTGTTTATCTATTATGATTATTATAAAATATGCTCTCATTGAACCATGTCAAAGGAATGTAGGGTATGCGAAATGGGGTAGTAATTTGATAGTGGGTAGGGGTTATCCCTCCTTCAGTCGTAACCTCAGGGGTGTAGCAGTACCCCACACATTTTATTACTACCCCACTCAATCCCAATGTACTAGAGCGAAGTGACCCCGTACTTTATCACCCTTGAAACCCTGTACCCGTCCTTTCAGCTCCGCCCTAGCAAAGTCTCGAACTTTGCCTAGAGGATTCTTCTTTCGCTCCCCCACTCTCCCACCACCACCACCACCTCGTCCTCGTCCTCGTCCTCGTCCTCGTCCTCGTCCTTGTCCTTGTCCTCCTGGTCCTGGTCCTCCTCGTCCCCGTCCTCCTCGTCCTCCACCTCTACTTCTCCTCCACCTCTCCTCCTCCTCCTCCTCCTCCTCCTCCTCTCCTGCTCCTCTTCCTCTACATGATCATGCTTCGAGTTAAACCTGAAGAGCCTGCACAGCATGAAGCTGAAATCTTTGCCGCAAGTCTTGGCACTCTCTGTTGTTGCAAGTAGCGCGTCCCAGAAGAATAGAAGCAGATGTGTTGATAGCTGTATTATTCACTTGTCTTTCTTGCTCTCGTTCGCAAACAGGTCCGTGTAATCTTCTACAGACTGCCATTGCAACATTGTTCCCGAGGGCAAACTTCTGCTCTCCGACTCTGTCATGAACTTGATCTTGTTCTTCTTCGGACGTTCTCCGTCCCCCCGCCGTCAGCCTCATAGATCTGGAACAGGAAGGGGGTCATGTGATGACGCTTCTCTGTACCCCTCTGTTGAGCAAGGAGCATCAACTCAGCGCCGACAGCACGTGGACGCGCATCATTACCTGCATCAGCAACAGCACCAGCTGCTGCATCGGATCGTAGGTCTGCAGCATCCTCGAGAGTCGCTTGTACTGCAGACGGAGAGCGGCCCTCTGTGCATGCAAGTCAGCACATGGCGACCAATATGTTCTCACAGACCAGGTTGATGTAAGAGATCGGAGCGCCATGGGTCGCCTCCAGCGCCTTGTCTTGTGGTATCGACCGTGAGCATGGCATGATGGAGGGGAGTCGATCTCACCTGACAAGTGGACTAGCACGCAGCCTTTTCCGCTGCACTTGTAGCATTCATACGCCCAGTGATGAACTGAACATCAAAGTGTCACGTTCTCCCCACTCGCCGCAGTGACCAGCACTCACTCGCGTACCCAAACTTCTTCATGTAAGCACTGCAAAACGTCTTTGCCGTAAGGTTGGCAGCATCCGCCTCGATCTGTACGGTTGAAATTTAGCAAAAGTGATCAGAGCACTGAGAGAAGGTTGTGAGTGAGTGAGTGAGTGAGTGAGTGAGTGAGTGAGGGAGTGAGGGAGGGAGGGAGAGCCGTTGGCACCTGCATCGACACCTTCTCAAAAACCGCTTGCACGTTAAGATTCTCCATAGAGTGCGGGTCTGGAATAAGATCTATCCAAGATGTGCAATGAGCACAAGAACGATCAAGTGAAGTGGATGTCAATACCAGCCAGCTGATCTTGCCAACTCCTTGACAACTGATCGCGTTCAGTCTGCACCTGTCGCTCGAGTTCCTTTCCAGACGGAGATCAGGTCATCGCGTGATTCATGCAACATTTTACCTCCTTTCTCCGCTTGAACAGCATGGCAACGCTGTGGTGGTTGTTCTCTTTCCAATCGCGTTTCATACACGTCTTCGAGCAGTAGAACATGTCAGATACAATCTTGCTGGGGATTCTTTCGCTGATTTCATCTCCCTTCAGTGTCTTCCCACACTTGGGGAAGGTGCAGATGAGATCGAGAGATTGATTCTGGAATTCTGAATCTTTCTGCAACTCGGAGACGTCGGATTTCCACTTTATCCATGTCAAAACAAACGACATGCTTATCAGCCCAAGAACCCACAGCACGATGGGAGGGAAGAATTCAAGAATGTTCCCGAAGACAACGAAAGCATCATCATACATGATGTTGTTATGTTAAGTTGCTTTCTACCCTCACACCCAACTTCAACCTGAGTTATCCAATTAGCTGTACAGGTCACAGCTGTACAAACTTGAACAGAGCAACGGCGAACGAACAGCCAACAAAGCCAGCAGTTCCCAAGTCCTCGATCTCGTTCAGATCAAAGTCATCTCATCCCCGGAGAATCACTCAGATCCTCCAACGCCCTCCCGCCGACCTCCACCCTCCTCCCTGGGTTCCTTCTTCCACTGCAGAGTTCCCAAGGGAAATTCCTTGCCTGCTCAAGACGATGATTCGATGGCAGCAGCAAGAGACTAGAAACAGCTCGCTGTCCTCTGCTCCAGCTCGCTCTCGCTCCGATCAGTTTGCCCGGCAGCCATGGCGCTTCCTCCCTCCCATCGCCTTATTGCCCCTTTGTGCCTTGCGACATATATGCCACGTCCCCGCTCAGACAGTTGTACCCTCATACCCACCATACCCACTATCCTTTTTTGCTGTTTTTTTACTTTTCACATTGAAAAAAACTCTCATTGAAAAACTCAAAGCACATGTGTAAGCTTCCGAATCACACATCCGTCGCAAGCCTTCAAGCACACATGCATGTTGGGCTTCTGATTCACCTGTGTCATTGTCGCTCTCAACTGCTTCTCATCCAATGGTCCACATCAGCAGATGGTTTGCATCGATGCCAGCATCAGGGAAGGGGTAAAGGACAAGGAGGCAGCAAAATAAAATATTTTTCATTTTGTACTGTTATTATTTTTTTTAC